TTGTTGTTGACACCGTCTTGGTCATGTTTCTGAGTGATTCAGATGCCATTTAAACTGTGGCAAGTACAGGTAGTTCAGAGGGTTGGATCTGTCGAGCACTTGGTCACAAGGAGTAATCAGTTCCTACGTGATTCTTTCTAGCTGAGTACGGAATCAAGGGATGTCACCAGGCAGACTCTCCCGTTCTCATTGGCAACTAACTCATCTCACTTTATTTGTCTCCTACGTCTGTCCCTTTCCTTAGTGGCTGCTCCGAGGACTAAACCCCTGTGAGATGAAATTACCAGTGCAGGACTTACAATGGTGTGGAGGGGTCTTGACCTCCCCAAGGACTTCTTAGTAGACTTTTTAGTAGGCTGCTAGGGCATCTGTCGTGCAGACCTTGGGACAGCCTTCGGGAAGGGGAAGGGACATATAGGGAACAGACAGCTTCAACCGGCAGTGGAGGAAGCCCACTGCACAGATGGCTAGAAGTGCCCAGAGTCTGCCTCCTTCGTGCCATGGGTGGAATAGCCAGAGCTAACATTCTTACCTGGCTGTGTCATCCTTTCAGTCTTCACAGAAGCCCTATTATTTGGGTACCATAATTATCCCTGTTACACTGCCAAAATCCTGAGGCCCACAGACTTTAACATGCCTGAAATCACCCACCAGGAAGAAAGTTGGATCCACCTCTTCCTGGCACCAGAACAAGACCACTCTCTTAACAAGACCACTTCTGTCAGGTGCTTGGCAGTGGCTCTCCTGATCTTGTGGCCTCACTGTTGGGTTTAGATGAGTGAGTAAGCCAAAGATGAGGTATAGTAATTTCCTGCCATGACTCCCAACAGGAATTTATTGTTTCACAGTTCTGGGGCTTAGAAATCTGAGAGTAAGGTATAGGAAGTGCCAGTTACCCTCTGACACCTGGAGGGGAGAACCCAACCTTATTTCTCACTACTTTCTAGTGGTGTCAGCCATCCTTAGCATCCTTGGCTTGTAGGTGCATCTCTTCTCTCCAACCCCACTGTCACAATGTGGACTCATCTCAAATGCTTTGTCGTCTTTGCAATTTTCCTCTTTAGATAAGGACACTGCTCTTAATAGATTAAGGGTCTACGTTTCTGCAGTGTGTCCTTAATGTTAACTAACTGCATCTACATACCGAGTATCAAATCTTTAACATTTTTTGTTTTGAGACAGGGTCTCACTCTGTAGTCCAGGCTGGCCTTGAACTCACGAAGGAGCCCAGGCTGGCCTCGAACTCCCCAGAAATCTTCCTCCGTCAGCCTCTCTGGTGCTAGGATTACAGGCATGCACCACCATGATTAGCTTTTAACATATTTTTTTGGAGACATGATTCAACTCAGAAGTACAGAGATTAATTCTTTTGATTTCTTTAATCTTATACTCCTGTTTTAGACTGGACCACTGAGTACCTTCCCAGGCACAGAGGATGTAGGCTGAGAAACTTGACCCCATGACAGTTACTCACTCTTTCCCTCTAGCCCCTAGCAAGAGGAAGTGATGCTGATGCCAGAAGCAAAAAAAGATGAGAGTCTCATTAGCAAGTTAAGATAATGCTTTGTTCATGGGGACTCAGAGATTACAGAACATTTTCCTACCCAAAGCAAAATGGAGAAACAAAAAGGTTTGCAGCCATAATGATTTTCCAACTCAAAGACTACATCTTGAAAGAAGCAAAAGCATAGAGGCAGAAAAAATTTCCCAGGGGAATGTATTGTGTTATTTCTGTGGTCCAAGGAAAACAGCTCTCTGCTGGTGAAGGCTTGCGAGTGGTGTGCTCCTTCTAGACCCTGGGGAGGGGCTTGCAGAAATAAATCCTCAGGAAAGCAATCAGAACACTTTCTTCCCGTGAGGTCTTTCATTCTTGTGAGGTTTTATTTCTCTGGTTTTCTCATTCATTATCAGTAAATGCAGGGATACCCACATTATGCAAAAGTTTACCCCCAGGCTCATCTCTGTTACCGGGGCACCCAAAATTCCAAAAAAGAACATGTAATTGTTTCTGGCATGAGGGTAGAATAAATGTCTGTCTGTGGGCTGCATGATATCTGCTTTGCCTTCAGGCTTTCAATTGTCAGCATTCCATAGTCAGGCAGGTAGATGGGAGTGTGCTAATTAGATCAGGTGCTTGATTTTGAAGTCTGTACCAGCAATGACTAGGTAGTGGGCTTCAGAACTTTTGAGCACTACCTGTCTTTCTCACAGTCTGCCTGGAATGTAATTATCTTGTCAGCCAAGAGGCTGTAGCGCATCGCTGAACGAGTGCTTGGCAGCAGTAACAGAGTGATAAGGGAAGACGAATGGACCCGAGGTGCATGACTGCTCTGAGACAAATAAATGCACCAGGAGGCACTGGAGAATGGAGGCTCAGAGAACAAAGAGGCTGCCTGCAGTATTTGTTACTGAGGATACTTCAGATCTTCTCTTAACAAGATTACTTTGCCTTTTGATAGCTATTGCAGGTCTTTGCTGGGGAATGCAGGTCCCTAAGCTTTAGAAAATCCTTTTAAAACAGGAAGCAGTATGGGGTTCAGCAGCAGCCTGTGTGCTCTGCAGACCAATGACAGGTAATAAAACTTTGAAGGATGACAAGTAGGAAGGAGATGAAGGGGACAAGGAAATAGCAAGCAGGTGTATGTGTGGGGACTACAAAAGAGCTCTCGGCCCTCCATACTGCAGGGCTGAGTGGGCAGATTGGCAGCATGAGCATTTTCTCGGAGACTGTTAGAACTGTAGAATCTCAGGCTCAGCCTAGAACTCCTGAACCACAGCCTCCGTGTTAACACCTCTCTGCCCTGTAAGACTGGACACATTAGAGGAGACTTAAAAAGGGAATACTGGTACATTGATCTCAGTCCCAGACACTCTGATTTAATCAGATCTGGGTGTAGGGTGGGCATTAGATTTAAAACAAATGAATAAAATAAAACAATGCAAAACACTCCCCAAGTAATTCTGATAAGCACCAAAACCTGAGAACTGCTGGCGCTGAATCTCTTCAGGGGAGGTCATTGGAAAATAAAGGTATGATGCTTTTAAGCCTATTTCAAAGCCATCATTCATGTGACATTTTCAGCCCGACTAATGCCCATGTTACACCCAGCAACACTCAGCAACAAAAGTGGTTTTATTCAGTGCCTGCCCATGGATTGGCACTTGCTTTCCTCTCTGTGACTCTAAGATTAGGGGATTTGCTTTCAGGTTCCCTTTTCTGTTTTATTCCTTTCTATTCCAGCTCACTCCAGGCTGACTGATCTATTTTTAATTTTTCAAACACACTGATCATGGAACCCTTTGCTGCCCTTGCTGCCTCAGGACCTTTGAACATGCCTTCTTCTCTTTAAGAACTTTAAGATCTTAAGAATGACCTCATTATTTCCCCCTTTATTACATCCCATTTTGGTGTACTATAAAGTTGTACTTGGCTATTTGTTCTTTATTTCTTGTCTATTTAATCCTGATAAACTAAACACAGTGCTTTTATTCTCTCCTATTCTCCCAGTGCCTAGTTCAGTGTTTGGCAGGGCGCACAGAATAAAAGGATGAAGGCAAGGATCAGCAGATTATGGCCTATGAGCTGTATTTTGGCTCTCACCTATTTCTGTAAATAACTAGACTCATATGTTTCTTTATGGTCCAGGATGCTTTTCACGCAACAGTGGTAAAGCTGAGTAGTCATGACAGAAGCCAGATGGCCCACAGACTTTAAATCACTCTGTGACTCTTCACTGAGAGGCCACTAGACTAAATACAGCATGCAGTTTGAATTTCAGAGCAGAGAACAATTTCTAATAAAGTGAATCCCCAATGTTGCAAGGAATATACTTATACTAAAGATTATTTATTTAAAATTCTAATTTAACTGAAAGTGCTCATTTTTTAAATGTGTAAACACTAGTAACCATGTGGAATAAATGTGTCAACCCCTGAATTAATGAAATAGCTCAAGCTGTAGAAGTTTAATGAATGTCTTTCTGAATTTTCTGTTTAGTTCTGAGAGATTCAATATTGTAGGGGCACAAAACTATTAATTTATGCTATAATTAATATTAGCCTTTTTGTAGCTCCTCCCAGATAACTTGATCTAAAATTAAAATATATAACACTTTTAAACTTTATGTCCTGGGGGCTGTCAGTTTAATTTGTCCTCTGTGTGTAGATGCCATCTGTGACCATTTAGAGGACTGTTCCACATGGAAAGTGCTTGGTTGCTGTTAGCTTCCTGCGTGGTGAGCCAAGCTGGGTGAGCATCCCGTGAGCACAGCTGTCATGTGGGCCAGACTCACAAATACCGACATGTACCGGGTGGCCAACTGCCACCACGGCAGAGCTTCAGGGCATGGACAGATGACTCAGTGAAACAGGAGTTCTCCCTTCCTGTGGGGCCCCCGAGAGCACAGGGAAGGGTAATTCCAGAGCCTGCGCCCTTTGTGTCTCACAGAGGAGCCTTGTTTACAAGATATCAAAGTCCTCACCCAAGGCACCCTCAGAGATCAGAAAGAAGCAGGTACTAAGTAATGGGTTGTTTTATTAAAGTGAAAACATGAATACGTGAAAAAGTTGCCACTGTGCTTCTGTAAAACAGTAGCTGGCAGGTAAGAATGGCATTCAGGTTTGGGGTGGAAGGTAAAAGAGGCAGGTTTGCCTTCCTAGGAGAGCACGCGTCCTAACGTATGGCAACCTTGGGCTCAGCATTTGTGGGTGATCCTGACATTACCTAATATTCTTGTTAATTAAAATGATTGATGTCTAACTAAATATAATTTAATGTCTTATGCCTTTCCAAGACTGTAAATATACAAACTCATTAAAATTTTTAATATACTTAATATGCACAGTATTATGCCTATTATGTTAAAATATGTAAATATATGCAAAGAAAAACATTCTAAAATGTCCACCTTAGTAGCTATATCGGAGAGGTGAGCATTTTATAAGTGATCTTTCCTTTCTTCGTATCTTTTAGTCTTCCACTTCCCTCTTGCTTTGGCAAATAATATGTTACTTTTGCAATCAGAAGAAGAATAACTTGAGTTTGTTTTGGTCCAGCCACACTTCCACACTACTTTGTGGTGGGAGAGAACTGGACACACTTTGGAAGGAAACTTAGACACTCCTGTGAAAACTGAAGACTCCGCTCTCCTGTTACCAGGGACTTCACCTATGGGTGCGGATTCGACAGTGTGTGAGAAACGTACATAACTGCAATGCCTGTCCTATGCACAGGTGAAAATACGGGACACCCTCAGTTACAGAAGAGGCTCACTGCTGTGTCTCCGCTGCCACAATACACAGAGCTGTGGGACGCAGTGCCCAGAGCTGCACCAGCCTGCACGGATAAACCTCAGACCTGGAACATTAAGCACAACGGTATGAATGTGCTTAAGTGACTGTACCCAAACTAAAAATGGTTAAAATGGTCAGGTCTGTGTTTTCTATATAGTTTGAAAATATAGTAAGAAAATATAATTCAAAAAGTTCTTTGGAGTTTTAGTAATTCCCTCCCAGGATCAGTCATTGATATGAAAGCCAGAGGTCATTGTTCTAGTTCTTTAAAAGCTAAAATCAAGTTGTGGAAATAATATATACACCACAAAATGAAGCTTATGAGCTGTGTTTATAACTATAAATTTACCTACTTTTTATAGAATGGAAAACAAATGTGAAAAAGGACCCTAAATTTAGGATACCAATGAGCTCTATGGAAAACAAAGGGGGAGATCAGACCAAGATTGGGCAGTTCCACGGCAGGCAAGTATATGTGAAATGTTTTATTTCTTTTAAAAAACTGTAACCAAAAATGGTGGCAAAACTGTTACTATTTGAGAAACATTGGCAGTGGGTTAGGGCTATATATATCAGCATCATCATCACTGTCACCATCATCACAGTAAACTATAGCTAGTGTCGGACCTGGTGCCCCCACTTTGCCCCTTTGCCTGGAATCTGTGACAGTGATTACCACGGGCGGAAGCTGGTTCAGGGGTCTGGCCGATGGCAGACTGCTCCCCAGCAATGTTACCTGTTCTTGCCACTCAGGGTTTAAATAACCCACAAGGCAGAATCAAAGACTCTTGAAGTCTACATACCTTTAGATTGCTCTATTCATCTAAATTAACAGCAATAGTAAGGAACCCCAGATCAATTGTTTCCTGGCCTTGGGACTCTGTCATTTAAAAGGAATTCCCTTACTGGTTCACCTGTCAGGGGTCTCTGCTCAACCCTTGGGCTACATGCTTTTAAAGTGATGTCTAAAATTGGTTGCTTTACTTAAAATACTGTTCTTCAGATGATCTACTGGCTAGAAATTGGCATGGTCTATCCCTACAGCAGCCTGAATTCAATACTAATTTATCTCAGGGGTTGAAGCTGGAGATTGTCTGTATCCAAATCCTGGCTTTTAGAATTTGCTTTGCTATTTGGGTTCTATAGCCATAAAATGCAGACTAATTTATAAAATGAGTGTAAAACTCTCAAACCCCAGACTGTCACCAAAAAGCTTTCTGCAATCATTCCCCATAACCCTATTCGTAGCATAATCACTGTTGCATGTCATTCTGAACCTTCAGTTTTGGCCCTTATAACCTGAAGCTCTTAGCCCAACACTTGATACTATTAGCATTAAAAGCAGTTTGATGATTGCTAATTACGCTGCTGCCTCGTCTACCAAAAATGACGAACAGGAAAGAGAACAAACACTGACAGATATGAAAACTCTGGATCCTCAGCCAAACTCTGCCAGGAGCTCTGTCTCTACAACACAAGTCTCTAAAAGATGCTCATCCTGTTTTCTAAGCTAGTTATTGGTTTAAAATTCTATGATTGCTCCTTGTACTGTGCCTTATTCTCTCAAACAGTCACAATCTCTGACCTGCTCCATGACAGTGTCCGTGAAATGTTTGATTAATGAATGAATAAATGACTAGGTGGTCAGTGGCTCTTGGTCCAGTGATGGGCAGGACATTCTAGGTGTTGGGTAAATCTTGAAATATTTAGGTTTTGTAATGAAGGAATCTCATATTTCCTACATGGACTTAGCATAACAGGACATATCAGTAAAGCCCAGTTATAATATGTACTTTTTTTCCTTTTCTTTTTGAGTCAGGGTTTCACTATGCAGTTAAGGCTGGCCTGGAGCTCACAGAGATCCTTTTGCTTCAGCCTCCTGAGTTTATGATCACTGGAATGCACCACCACGCCTGGTTTGTTTCTTTTTTTAATGTGTATTTACTTTCCAGATTATGAGACTTTGTGTTCTTTAGGAGAAGAGTACCATTTGTAATCTGATGACTTTTCATGGCTAGGATTTATTAGCCTAAAGAATACTCCTTACATCACTGCCTGATAATCTGAGGGCATGGGTTTTATTTCCCAATCCTCTCTCTCTCAGAGAGATGTTTTCATTAATGAGGAAAGTGTAGGCAGCTTAGCCTTTGTTCCTAGATACTATCAATCAAAGAGAAATAAAAATATTTTCCATTATACTTGGCTTTACAGCAATTTTTTTTTTTGTCTTTGCGTTTTTATCGGTACCAGGGATCAAACTCACGACTGCCTGCTTGCAAGGCAGGCGCTTATGCCACTGAGCTAAATCCCCAGACCCTATAGCAATTTGTTAATTCCATGGACACGTCTCATAACCCATAAATTATCTTTTACCCCAGATGATTTTAAAAATAAGAGTTTGTAATATCCAATTAAAGGATAGGATTGATAAGAAAGAGAACAACTTTTTAAATGATACCCTAAAATTAGCTAGAGTTTAGCCGGGTGTGGTGGCTCACACCTGTAATCCCAGCACTCGGGAGGCTGAGGCAGGAGGATTGCTGCGAGTTTGAGACCTGCCTGGGTTACAAAGTGAGCTGAAGGCCAGCCTGAACTGCATAGTGAGACCCTGTCTCAAATAGACACCCCCCGCCCAAATTAGCTAGAGTTCGCCTCCTTTTGTTATCCATGTGGAGATCACTGGAATTCCTGGTAACTTCCCCTCCCCAGGGTTAGTTATTCATGGTTAAAGCTGGAAGTCGTCACATCTAGTCCTTTTATTTTACTAAACTGGATTATATTTTATAAAGTCAGAGAGACTTCCACTCAAACAAAATTGTTTTGATCTTTTCCAGAGAGACCATTAAAAAAAAAAAAAACTGAAAAGGATGACAAATAGCAAAAGGACTCAAATTTTTTCCCAGCACTGGGGATGAACAGAGTCCTTCTCATTTATTTTATTTTGAGGTAGGGTCTCACTGTGTTGCTGTCCAGGCTATGTTTGAACTTATGATGCTCCTGCTTCAGCCTCCCAGCAGGCTAAGATTGCAAATGTGAGCTGCTACACCAGCTAAGGTCCAATTTTTTTATTGTCTTTTTCTCTGTTTCCATTCCTCCCTTGCTACAGGAAAAAAACTCAAAAGAGCCACAAAAAGCACGAAAGGGTGAAACAAAAGTGGGTTACTGATTGCTGGAAAATGGAATCTTGTGTTCAGTATGTAATTTTCACAAACCACACAAGCACATGGGCAGTAGCATACACTATGGCTGCTCTTCGTCTGGCTTTTAGATCTAATGGTCAGCAGGTAGAGATAACTGCCTTCCATGGAGCAGTGGGAAGGCTGTGGTCCTTCTCCAGCAGCTCTGTCCTAGAACAGATGCAGAGTACTGCTTTTCCCTCTGGACTGTCTGGGCACAGGGCAGCAAAAGGAAGCAGGGGCATTCTGGGCTGCTGAGAACCCTAGTGAAGATCAAGTGCCCCCTGCTCTGAGCATAGGGATTCCCCTAATCTCAAAAAGTATTTGTCATACAAAACTCCTAAGTCTTCATTTAGAACATGTGATCCAACTTTAGAAAAGACTAAGTGCTTTTACTAACTTCTTTTATTCATTCAACAAACACACATATACTAAGAATTCATCCTGAACAGGAGGATCAGCAAGACTCACTCTACTCCACAAAGACTGCTAACTAATGGCTTTTTGTCTGCAGCAGAAAGAGTCCTTTGTGGTACAAAAATCTGTTTGCACCCCTCTCTCCATATGTTAGACACAAGGATGGTAATTGGTGGACACAAATGTTACTGAATAAACTGTCAGTGAGCGTTACCAATACTGGTCACTTTCTAAGTGCTGCGTTTCAATGTCACATCACAAACACCAGGTCATACAGTATTTCTATTAACAAAAGCCATCTTTTTCAGCCAGATGTAGATACTCTGAAAAGATGTGATTTGACAACGTGGTTTTGAAAAACCTCACTAATTTAATTTCTTTCTGTCTCAAAATCTCGCTAGCAAGGAGAGATTAGTCAAATGAGGCAGGGTTGAGTAGCCTGATACTATCTCAATGTAAATTAGCAGTAAACACTTAAAAACAAGGACGAGATATAAACATTAAAGCAAAAACTTTGGGTAATTGAATGCTGATTCAAAATGGTATTTAGCAGGAGAATATAATATACTACCTGCTGCTCAATTATCTATCATTACCTTCTGAACACTGTAATTGAATAAACAGGAAACTATTCATAATAATAAGTTTGTGCAAAATCACCCGTTTGCCGGAGTCTGGGGTGCACACTGCAGTCAGGGTGAACTGAAGGAAAAGCACTTATTGTAGCCTTTCCGTGGTTAGCTCATCTCTCTTACAACACAGAGCAGCACAGGACACCTGGGCAGTCCCCCGCGCTCTGCCGAAGTGACTGAGAAGCAGCCATTTCTCCTGCATTCTGCGAGTGAGCGGCATAAATCTCATTTGCTGCAAGACAGAGCCACCATTGAGCCTAACCCATCGCTGGCCTGCTGGGCAGGTGCGTAGTTCTGCTTAGCACATAAGTTGGCAAATAATTTGCCTTCTGGAATTTCCATTAGCTCTCACCACTTATTTGCTCTATTTATCTATTTCCCAATGATACTTTGTAGTTATGGTCCTTATATCACAGCTATGCAAACATTAGATTACACAGGACTCTTGCACACTAGGGCTCCTTCTAAGAGATTTAAATTGAAAGGCAACACAGGCCATTATTGGTCTATTTTCAGTTTTCATTATCAATAAAACAAGAGATCAGCATTTTCATGCTGTGTGAAACCTTTAAGGAAATGCAATGTTACTGTCATTATCTTTTAGACCAGGCTGCCCTGGCCCCACTAATGCAGAGGGAATGATGAGCCCATCAGAATAAAAAATAAAATAATGAAACCAGAATCACCGAGAGGCTGCTGAACAGGTCTGCTGCCTGGCCTTCTGCAAATGTCCCTTTGAATTTAGTAGAGCCTGGCTGGCAAAGACCACAGATCATGACAGAACATAAATTGGTCTCATAATGAGATTAGTAGGCAGGCAGAATAAATGTCTTGCTGCTATATTAGAGGCAGGCTTTAATCTGGTGTTTTCCTTGGAAATGATCATTTCTTTTGCAACAGGGGAACCATGATGCAACTAGTTTAAATCCAACAGATTTTGTTCTGCCACGTAGCTCTTTTTCATCTACCTCTGTCTTTTTAATAATAGTTTGGGGGAGGCATGTAAATGAGTTGTGAGTCTTAAAGATTATTACCAAAGTGAGCTCTGGGAACCTATGTTCATAATCATTAATCCTGTTCCCCATACTCCTTTTGAAGACAAGTTCTGTGCAGCTTCCCTGACCCTGCCTAAAGTGGAGCCTGCTGGGGAGGAGGTGGTGTGACCCCCAGGTCCTCTCCTCTCACTTTAGTCTTAAGGATCAAAGGCAGAATAGATTCGCTATTGTATTTGGGGGATATTTTAAAAAATCTTCACTGCAACTCTACTACTTAAAATCAGTGGAAACAAGTATCACATACTAAAGAGCCTTAAGAAAATGCCCAGATCAGGTGAACCCTGAGGTTCGGAGGTTCGGAGGTAGAACAAAAGCCTGCAGTATGGAGCTTGATTGCAAGGGACTTCCTCAGCTTGCAGCAGAAGGCAGTCTCACCTGGGAGCACAATACCTCCTCTCATTAAAAATGCAAGATAGCATCTCCTCCTGGATCCTTTCTACAGAACCTGATGCAGGTTCATGGACTGTGCCATACTCAGTAGTGAATACATTTAGTCAAAGCTTTCTGGGAAATAATCTCAGACTTTTCTGAGCCCCATAGAGTCACCAAGCAAGTTAAGAGGTCCTTACAAAAGGAAAAGGAGATCATTTAGGAGTATTTGACACTTCTGCACACAAGGCGCAGACAGTTTGATTTCCCTGCATTTCCTAGGGCCTTGCTAAAGCCTCCTATCTTCTCTGTGAAATGCAGATTAGGGTTAGATTACTGGCTAGCCTCTCAATTCCTGGCATTTTGACATATTGTTTTTTTCAGGCTGGAAAGAAACCATAGAAATCTTTTATGTTTGCATGTATGTTTTATAGTTTACAAGCATTATGTGATCTCACGAAATAAGTCCTTTTTCATAGTTGGTGCTTCCATCCAAATTCCGGATCTTGAAGTTCAACTACTTTAAAGAGAAATTATTTTTTGGCCCAATTTAATAAGTTTTTGCTTTCAACTTTCCACTTCTCAATAGTTGTATCTCTACCTGTGTCATTTCTATGTATCTAATTTGCAAATGTCAAAAATTTAAAGTCAATTCTCCTCCCATCCTTAATATTTTCTCTGTCCTCTGTTAACTTCTGCTTCATCAGATGCAATAGTTTAACAGGAGACAGACTAATTTTCCTCTAGGTAGGTGGCCCTGTGTTTACTGGCACTCTCTTCCAATTTGCCTCATTCATTTCCATAATAACTCTTTCTACCTTGTCCCACCACATCTGCCCCCCCCCGCCCGTCTGCTGCAGCTCCATGATTATAATTTAAATTACCAGCAGTAAATGAATTCACTTCGCCAAGTGCCCTCTACAGTTGGAATGTGTTAATGATTATCTAATGGCTTTCTTGTGTGTTGAACTCATCAAGTTAAAGTTTCATGACATAATCTCCCTAAAGGAATCTTGTGGATTATGTTTGCTTACCTCATATAGTGGAACTTGTTCTTGGGTTACAGCAAAGATCAGTAACACATTGTTTTGTACCACTTTATCAATGAGTTGTCCAATTGTTGGATATTCCTAAAAATCAATGCATAGATTTTTAAGTATTACCTTAATAAAACAATTTGTGTAAGGAAAATAATAATTATTTCAAAGATATTTTACTGAGCTAGCCACTTCAAAGCTGACAGCTATTATTGTATCTATTACTCGAAGCAAAGAAACACACAATTAAGCATTACACACTTAATTGGTTCAGTAATTGTTTTCCAAATCTAGTAAGTTTAGTTTGGTCCCAAGACTCAGCTCCTGCCAATGTGGTACCTCATGGTCACTCACTTTTAAGCAGATCACTCGATATTTATTTAAAGGCAAGGAGGAGAAGTATTTCTTATAAGTGCTCCTCACTGGCAGGCAGGAACATTAGAATGGAGGGAGAGGCATTTAGCCTGTGACGCATGTGACCAAGGAGGCATTTATAGCTCTGAAATTTTTACTGGAGTTTGATGAGGTGCCATGAAGGTAGAGGAAGGGATGATCTGCTGAAGAATGAGACGCTACGATTCCTGCACCTGTCTGATTTGTGAATTTCCTAAACTAATTGTTGAGATTGGTTTGTGCACCTTTTCAGTGTCATAAACTTGTTGATCGGGATCCTGCAGTATTTTCACAGGATGACTGAACACTTGCTGCCCTTCTGACTCACTGTTACATTCATTCCCACTTAATATGGTATTACTACTTAGAAACAAGGAAGTCATTAACTATCACATTTGAATGTGAGCTTTACTTTCCAAGTCTGTAAAAAACTGAAATTTGTTTGCCTGTCATATGAAACCAAATGTGGATGATGCCCAAAAAGAGAAGTCAAAGGAGGGAGTCACCTGTATCTGATTCAATTGAGAATGTGTCCATTCTTAAACAGCCCTCCTCTAATGGGATGTGTCCTTACCTTTTCCATAATGCTGCACATTTTTATCTAAAGTCCTCTTTAGGTACAAAGTTCAAGCTGATGGAAAAGTGTACTTTTATGTTGAATACTCAGCTGAATTTTCAACTGCAAATCTAGCTGCAAAGTACTTTCAATCACATTTGGATTACTGTTAGTACAGATTCCAGAGAATATGAATTTTCCTGAGTCCAGTATGTTCGGTTTCTTTGGCTTTTCAGTTCCCCAAACATTCAGCATCTTTCTTCCTCAAGTCTAGGTCCCACCAGTGCTGGCCCCTCATCTCCACATCTTCCCACACCTCTCAACTTCTGGCTGTGTGGAGCCAGGATCCTAACACAGATCCCACAGGAGTTGCATCTTTCTCTGTAAATAATATCTATTGGTTTAATCTCCACAACTATATGGCAGGTTCTAGGCCAGGAACAACATCCTATTATTTTGTGGCCCCAGGAATCTGGACCAGTTTTGGGTACAGAGGAAACGCTCTAAGGACCCAAGGGGTATGGAAATGGTCCAGGGCTTCTGTACAAATGTAGCAAGAATGAACTGAACTTTTGTTATGTGAGAAGTACGTATTAGGCAAGAGGTAGGGTTTGTTTTTACAGTCTTTCTGTTTTCAACGTAAGTATTATGGGACATTTGAAAACTTGCAAGAAAAGGGGAGTGAAAAATGTATCAGTTTCTCAGTTTCTTGCCTCTTGTTGACTAAAAACCAAAATGTTCTCATTCTCACTCTTATAATATGAAATGGCAGATTATGTGATTAAAGAATGCATGTTTCGAGAATACAACTCACCTAGAGTTACAGGAAAACATTCATGTCAAAGTTTAGAGATTTAGGTCAGGGAATGGTACTAACATGCAAATTGTTAGTTTGTAGAAAACACTTTTTCCAGGCGATAAACTTAAATTTTCTGAACCATATCTTCTCTTGCATTAAGTGGGTATATAACCTTCTCAGGATGCTGCTTCCTACTTCAGTTTCATACATGGTTGACGTCTACTGTGTTCCAGGCCCTACACTACCAAGAAACAAGAGATTCAAAAACAAAAACAAACCCAGCCCTGGCTCTGGGACTGTGCAGTAAAAACAGACAGAAATAAGCAAACCCAATTCTGCCAAGACGAGTAAGGACGAAGGGAGAGGCAATGGTGTTAGGACCTGGTGGAAGCCAAAGGGACCGCGCTGGAGACAGCTATGACTAAGTTGGATTTTAAAAGATAGTCAGGAGTTTCTCAACAACCTAGGAGGAAGGGCATTCCGAGAAGAGGGAATCACATAAACAAGCATAGCAACCATATGCTCGGGATATACAGAGTTCTGTTGAGGATCAGATGATATCACAGAGGTCAAAAGAGCTCTGCCAACTTTACAGTTCTACAGAAAGCCATGTGTTTTGCTTTTCAACATCAGCAGCATTTTTTAAATGACAGAAAATAAACGAAATGTTAGTAAGGATCAACCAATCAGTAGCCGACTAGTGGCTCTCCCAGGAGTCTATGGGTTATGGAAACATGGCATAATTTAGGGACAACCATTTCCAACAATCCTCAGATGTTACTGTTCTAGTCTGGGCCTGTCTTTCTGGGCTGTGTTTTGGAACAGAAAAAGTTACTCAGGCTGTTTTTTGACTGGCTCCAGGATCTTTCAACAGTTGAGGAATTCTAGGAGCACATGTGCCATTACAAATCCAAACTTCTTACATGTCCCCTCTACCCATCTGTGCTCTACTAATAGGGTTAGGAAGGGGTAATGTATTCATCTAAAAAATGTACACTGCTAAAAACATGTACACTGCTTTCATCAAGCTAAGTTATTTCATGTTGTGTTACAGCAACTGTTGCTTCATTTGCCAGTGTTGGCCCAGAAAACAGTCTGGGGTGCAGGGTACGTACCATGACAGTTGACATGGAGTATTCATTCTTGCTGTCCAAGTGACACAGCCCATCGTTGGGAATGACAATGCCTGCCAGTTTGCTGTCCATTCCAAAATGAGAATCGGCATCACTCACGAAGACTAGGAGATGGAGCGAATCATTCCGCCAGCCAATTTTTTCCTGCAGTAAGAAAGAAACTTCCAGGTTTCTTTGGGGAGAGGCGGGCACATAATAAATGTGGATCAATTCTGTTTAGACATGTTCCGGTTTTAACAACACACTGCTGGTCTATCTATTTTAACCTCTCTTACCCATTATGACTTGATAACATATTATAAACATGAAATTCTACAGCATTTGCTTTTTCCTGGATAACATTTTTGGATGACTTATGTTTCAGGGAAAAAATACTTCTGCTACAATCAGTATTCAGTTGATCTTGGCTTTCACATAATTAATTATTTTTACTGTTCAGATTTCAATTCACCAGAAAAATGAGGAAAGAAGGGGATGAGGTTCATAGAGAAAATTCCAGATCTAAGCTGAAAAAAAATTAGTCAAAATGCAACAAAAAGTGAATTAAAAGTAAACCTGCTCCATTAAAAAGATCACCTAACATTTAGGGATGCATTTCTTTTTTAAGTGATGCAATACAGAAGCTTTCTGATCAGGGTTGGTCGCACCAGGTCCTGCTGACTGTGACTGTCCACGGTTTGCATCTTAGCAGAGCTCCGCCCATTAGTATTAGTCCAGGAACCATTTAGGCAAAAAACTCATCTGACTGTTCCAGTCTTCCGTATACCTTTCCTTTGTCCTCTAATTCCTTGGCGCTGCCACCTTCAAGGAGCTTCAACTTTGTCCATTTCCAGATATTTCCCCCCAGAGGGCTGCATTCTAAAGACATTAGACTCATTATCATGATTACTTCTCAAATAGTTAAGGAGGAACAGGATTCCAGCAATGTCTTAAAGACCGTAGAACTTCTGATTCTTATTTTGTTGCTTCAAAACAATAACTATGTATTTGTAAGGTAGTTGTATACTGATTCAAGGTATTTTCACTTTTATCTTTACCATTTTTGTGTATAGTATCGGGGATTGAACCTAGGGCCTTCTCACTGAGTACAGTCCCAGAATTTAAATATTTTTGGTAATTTTGAAACAGGTCTCTCACTAAGTCTCTGGCTGGCTGTGATCACAGGCATGCTGCCTGTACGCCCAGTTTACTTTTTCATTAATGTTCTGCTTTTGATATTTTTCACCAAATTGAAAACCGAGATTAATCTGATCTTGATCTGTGAAAATTAGTCATTTTTGTCAAAAGTGCTAAATTTTTTTTACTTTACTTGAATGCTAGGCATATAAAGGAGTCCCTATTTCAATATGATTGAATTAAAATTTTTAAAGAAAATTTGTGTTTTAAAAAAGTATCAAGAGTAGAAATATGGCAATTGTAGGAAAGAAAATTATTTAACCTTTCCAATGCAGATTTGTGAATAAGTGGTGAATTTATGTTATCAAAATGGAACCTTGCTCTGCTCAGCATACCTTACACACAGCAGCTTGCATAATGGCATCGAATCCACCTTCAGGTGTGTCAATATTAGCAGAAATTTTCTGTTTCTTCACAATTTCATTGAATCTTTCAGCATCATTTGTCAATGGCAGAATGTGCTTGAATCCAAATGTAGGTAAGCAGATATATGGAATACTACTGCAAAAGGAGAATATAAAAATATTCTTGAAATACAATGCAACACACAGTTAGTGGATCTGATAGTCCAGCAACATTTCTTTTTTCTTTTTTTTTTTAATTTTATTTAAGGAGAAGAAAAAAACAGAAAAAGGGTACAAGTTATACAGAATTTCAGAAAAAATAAACAGTAGGAAATCACTAGTTAATAGATTACATATTGTCATCTTAGAAATAATTGTTCAAGTTACAAAATTAAAGCATATCGAGTGGACATTCAAACAGTGAGACTGCAAACAGTTCTGTTCAATGATCCAGTAAAACTCGGTAATATGGTTACCTATCTTATACACTTAAATATACATGCAGTTATGTCCTTTAGAGCACTTTCTGTTCCTCTCTTTTGTACAATGACAATTACATATTTTGGGTTTTATTACTCCCACTGTTCTTATTACTTTTTTTTGAAGAAAGTAAAACCAAATGTGACATAATAGGACAGAGGAGGTCAAATCAAAAGGATGGACATAATACATAATGTAAAAACAAAATACAAGGTGATCAACAATGGTTACCATTAATGCCTCTTGCTATCTTAAAAAGAATTGCCTATATCATCAGTTATAATAAAATTGAACAAAACAGTAAAGAACAAGACCAATAAAACCAAAACATTGGAGACATTAGAGGACTTCAAAAGAAGATAACAGTCAACAGCAACATTTCTTTAAATGAAGATTCACTTTTCTACAGGACCTGGATTCTGTATCTTGACTGGGAGTCTCACAGTAAAGGTTGTTGTCATCATCTTCTGTCCCATCACTTCCATGTGACTAGCTGAATCTTATTTAGACTTACTGTATGTCTTACTGACTCAGACTCAGATAAAAGGTAATCAGGTGTTCAGACTCTGCATTCCAATGACCATAATCACTACCTTCTATCGCCTCCCAACCCAAATCCAGCATTGTTTACATGATGACAAATTTTTGTATTCTGATATTTTAAGCTGTTGTCAAATATGACTCATTTCATAGCAAGTCAGAGAGGAACTTGTCTTCCTCCTCTGCTCCCTCTTAACCCCAACCCTGCCTGCCAAAGGCCCAGAAATCATAGCACGGCTCCTTGTTCTAGCATCCAACTCTACCACGATTGAACAGATGGTTAGGGATTAGCCTGGGAACAAAATTACCAGTTACAATATCAGGTTAGGGTAAAATCTGCACCAAAGGTAATATAGTTGAAGAAAAAGTGGTGATCTTAAGTTTAGTCACAGGTTATTTGGAAAAGTCAGTTACTAGTGTTGCAGGCAGCTGAATTAGTTAAAAATATTATAGGCAGTCAGACAGGGCTGGGCCCTTAAAGGAACCAGATCAGACACCTGTAACCTTGGAGGAGACAGATGCCTCCCACTGTGGGCCAGATCTCAAAACAAAAGTCAAAACATATGCAACTTTCTAAATAGGTATGGATCACCTTGACAAAGCCAGGAGCCACCATTCTAACCCCCTACAGGAAGAATCACTGCTCCATATGTGTGCCTCTTGCTATGTGACTCGCTTTCTCATTTGTCCCTGATTTGGTCAATTTTACCTGAACAATTAATCTGATTGGTTAACCATAGTTCGGTCCCACCTCATGCTTATCTACCTTGAGAGTTCCCAGTTTTCCCCATCTTGGACCCGCCTCACCTCATGATTTTTCTCTATAAAAGTCCCTAGGAAGGGCAGAGTGTTTGGCAACCCACTCGGGACCCCTTTTGTCTCTCTCAGACAGAAGCTTTCTTTTTCTCAATAAATATATTCTGCTTTAACCTCTGTTGTTCCTAAAATTAATTCTTTGATTTTAGAGAACATGAACGTGTATAGGACATACAGTAGGTCAGGAGTTTCACTAGCTACATGTGACTTTTTTTGTACTAGGTATTGTAGAACCTCTTGCTTGCCTGGCAGGCACTGTGCCACTGAGCCACACTGTCAACCCCTACACACGAATTGTTTCAGCAAGTTACTCAAGCCCTTCTTAGCTCTGGGCATTCATCTGCCAAGTGAGGATGACAGTATAGAACAGATGAGATCCTCAGATCAAAAGTATGAACACCACATGAAACTGTCACAAGAATAAAGTCTGGAGCACCACCATACCCTTAGATTGATGATCTGGATACGTTATTTTTAATTTTGTTTTATTACTAATATGACTGAGCTCTAGTCCATATTTATTGACATTGTATATTTATTCTTTTGTAAATTCACCAGCTTATATACTTTATTTTCTTCTGAGGTATTTTTATTTCCTAATTAAATTTTAAGAACTCTTATAAATACTTCTTTGCAGTTTTTCTAAATTTATGATTTTTTTGACATATCTTTCTTATACAGCCAAATTTTTCTCCACTTTCAAATATAAGAAATATATGAAAAAGTCTGATTTTTAAAAAAAATTGGTAATGAGGACAATTCAATACAGTTTATGTTTTCATAAGAAATTGTGTCATGGCTGATTAGAAGTATCTCCTAAGCAGATACTTCTAATTATCTTATTAGAACTCTCTGCTTTTAGAAAATGGGATGAAATTTTAATTTAAATCACTGAGCAGAATCATTTGATGGGAGACCATGTAGCAAAAACAAAACAATGGTAGAGGAGGGATCACGATTAAGATTATGAAACAGATTTCTGATTTAATCAGAGCTCTAATCAGTGCTCACATTTGGATGTTACTTTGCAAAGCAACGGAGGGAAAGGTACTTCTCAACAACTGGTGATTTTGATTCCCTAGACAGTAATGGATTTAGATTTTAAATGAAAGATAATTGTGAACGATAACAAAGAAGTAATGCATAAATGTTTTGTTAAAGTTTTTAAATAAATATTGATAAAATAAGGCTATAATACTAAGAGGTTAACATCATCTTTTTTGAATGGGATTGGAAATGATTTAGAATTCATTTTTTGTCTATAGTTTTACAGAGGCTTATTAACTTTATGTAAGAAATTATATGCCTGGAGTGACCAACAAATACAGAGAATGTTTTGATTAACATATTTATTATAGTGAAAGACATATTACCATTATTTCCTCTCAAAACACTTCCTGTCACTTTGAACACACATCCCATCATTCTTGGTAATGTGGCTTTCACTGTAATAAGTTCCCTAAAATTTAAACATTAACTATATTTGTGATAACCTCCTGTACTGTGTGTATTTACACACACACACATATATATACGAAATCAATTTAGCATTTCATGGTTCAGCTTCCTCTTTTGTAAAACTATAATGAATTCCTTACTGTAGGTGTCAAAAAGAACACAACACAGCATATACAAAGTGATATTAAGGCAAAACTGTTCAAAATGTTTGGAGGGAGAAAATTTAAATTTTGTGCTATCAAATATTTTAAAATGCATATTACAACTCAGCTATAAGTATAAAAATAAAAGCAAAAACATGTATTTTGTGTGGTATATTAAATAACAGCAGAGATGAGATGGGGATATAGTTTAGTGGCATAGTGCCTGCTTTGCAAGAACAAGGTCCTGAGTTCAATTTCTGGTACAAAAAAAAAATGTAATCACTTAGCAATCCTTCAGGATAAGATAAATTTTTAGTGATTTTTTTCCTACCCAATGAAAATAGAGAAAGCTACTCAAGAAAGTATTGGAGATTAGAATTTAAAAGATAGGCTTTTTTTTGTTTCCTTTTGTTATGCTTTGTTGTGTGGTACAGGGGATTGAATCCAGGGCCTTATACATGCTATACAAGTACTCTACCAATGAGTTTTACCTGCAACCCCCAAAGGGTAGTTTTTAAAGTATGGTACTCAGATCTATGAGATCCCTAAGGAATTCAAGAGGGCTTTTAAGATCACGCTATATCGCAGAGTAATACAAAGACGTCACTTGCCTTTTTTGCTGCATTGACGTTTGCCCTGATGATAGGAAAGCGGCAGTGAGTAAACTCCTGGTGTCTCAGCACAAATTAAGGCAGCACCACCAAGCTGTACACGCAGTCCTAATACTTTTTACAAGGAAGCACTCATCGTGATAGTAAACGTAAATTCTAGTTTCAGTTGATTGCCTTGATGAAGCAGTAAAAGTCATTAAATGTATTAAATATTCATCTTTGAACATGTGGGATTTTATTAATGCATAGGGAGTATGTGCAAAGCATTTCTGCTGCACACAAGTACAACGCTCATTGAAGTGAGCAAGTATGTCTGAGCTAACCAGGCCCTCTTCTCATGCAGCACTATTTTTATGTGAAAATATGACTGACAGTCAAACTATTATTCCAACCTGAGTGTTTGGCAGATGTGTTCTTAAAAGGGAGCAAAGTGAGATTGTCATATTGAGAAAAATGCCTGCCAGTATTTGTTGTCAATGACAAAGTTTAAGGTAACTAAAAAATTAGAGTTTAGGAAAGTGTTCATTTGCCACCCATGAGACTAACAATAGCAATATTCCCAAACTCTCAATACCTTAATTTACTTAATGCAATTGATGGCAATTTCTTAATATTGTGTCATGACATCTGACAGACTGGTATAATTTAGTTAACCAATTTTTTTCAAGTAACCAAACCATAATGCTGCAAAATTATCCATTTTTGGAAGAATCAAAGTCCAACACAGACCGCTGAATTTTAATGTAACAGAATATAAAATGTTCATCGGTATTGTTTCATATTCCACATCAAAACCTTCATTTGTCATCTAACGTAGATGCAATATCAAAGCATGTCCACAGACACTGTAAACACTCTGCCTTTTAGAGCTATATATCTATGTGCAGTTTGGCTTTCTTCATGAAATTCTATCAAAAAATAATTAATAAATTAAATGCAGAACCAGACACAAAAATCCAATTGCCTTCTCTTGACCCAGATGTTTAACAGCTTAGTAAAATGTAAAGCAATATCACTATCTTAGCACAAAAAACTTGATAATTTTTGTTTTGTGCTGGAAAATATGATTATTTTTATAAAATATGATATAGTAATAATTACATATTATTATAATTAAATAATTATTTTTTCAGTTTTACTGTTCAATAAAGTGACTATCAATAACATACAAGTAAAAGTCTTTGTAGGATCTTAAATTTTAAGTGTACAGAAGTCCTGAGGTCCAAAAGTTTGAGAGGAACCAGGTCAAAATAACTAGAGGTAAAATAAGTGTTAATGAGAAAAAGAAGGTCAATACTTGTTTTGAATATCTGGTATGCTCTGAGTGCATTCAATTCTCATGATTGAGAAATCAATATTATTATCCCCATTCACAGGAAAAGCAATTTAGCTGGTGTGCATCTTTGTATGAGGTGGTATTTGGACTGAGGAACTGAGAGAGCTAGGGATGGAAAGCAATGTGTTGCAGCGAAAAAGGACGTATTATTTGTAATTTTAAAACTCTACAATTTTTTAACTTTATAACTTGAATTCTGCCAGGAAGAATAAAAGAAGTACTTTTTCAAAACTGACAAATTGATTACATCAAGCATATAATGTTCTTCTGGATCCCTGCTCACTGTACCTAGTGCAGTGGTCTGGTCTCGCCCCTAGCTCCACTCTGGTGCTTACTGCTCATTGGGAACTTATCAAGGTCAGGCTCAATGCCAAAGGCTTTTAAAATTCATGATCTTATTTAGCTCTTACAGCCATTCTATGGGGTCAGTATTGTGATTCCAAATTTACAAAGGAGAAAAACTGAAGATCTGAGCGATGAAATGGCTCACCCAAGGTAGCATTAGGAGTGAGTGGATGAATGAAGGCTGGGGGCTGACTATGTGATATGCCCAGCCTGCTCCCCGAGGAACTCCAGCTCCTGGTGTAATGCACCAAGCTCTTTTCCTCAGGTATCTCTATAACTAGCATAATATTTGGTACAGTTGGATCTCAATAAATTTTTGTTGAACAAATGTATGCATGAATAAAATACATATAAATTAGAGCTAAATATCAAACTGCTTTGATTTTTCTAGAAGCCTCGTTAAGACAGGGTTTCCTTGTCTAAGGTGTTGGGCTGCCAACTCAGCTCACCCATCCAACCTTGTTAATTTTATTTTTTTTCCACTGCTAACATTCCAGACTCATTGTTTCAGATGGTCATTAACATATTTTATGCCACTTCCTCTTATCTGACCTATGACAGAAAGAATGATTTTAAATATATCCCCGAGAGAAAGCTAGTATTTTGTAATCCTTGGTAGAACTGCCCTACTAGACTCTATTGAAGTTTGTTGCAGGAGAAAGAATGAAGAAAGACTTAATCTGGCAAAGAAGTACAAATTTCATATAGGTACAATATCTCTGGTTTAAAGAAAAATGCCAGAAGCATCATACATGTTTTATATTAGACTTTAAAGCTGTTAGCACCAAGCTTATTTCCCTCAGTAAATGAATCCAACAATACCAATGATCATCCTTACTACTGATTACTCAGATTTTGAGAGTGCAAATCATTGTCACTCTTTCTAGAAATCTGTGTGTTCAGTGGTGCAGGAACTTCTCAATGCTGCATAGAGTCCATCTCTGGTGCTTCTTAGTAATCCTGTTTTTGGGGGTAGAGTCTGATTCCTTTGTAGCTCTCTGTGATCATGCGCAAGTCTAGGGTGTTGGGTAAGATTTCTAACAAAACTTGTTTGGAAAAATAAAATCCAACATTCATACGTAATATAACAAACCAAACAAACTTAACAAACAGAACACAGAAGGGAGTTTCCTTGACCTGATAAAGAAAGTCCAAACAACACTAGATAACAATATATTTAAATGTTGAAATTTTCCCCCCAATGGCATTATTATGACAAAGTTATCCTTTCTCACCAATGTAAAACTATACTGTTGACATTAGCTAGCACAAGTCAAGAAAAAGAGAAGAGAGGCATATATGTTATAGAAGTTATTAATAGATGACATGATCATGTACTCAGAAATCCTAAAGAATCTATGAAACCAGTCTAGAATTACTGTAATGAGAAAATTTATCAAGCTTGCAAAACATGCAAAATCAATCACATTTTTATAAATCACCAGCAAACTATTAGAAAATGGAATTTTAAATATTCCCCTTGGAATAAATAAAACAAAAGATGTGTAATATATACTCTGAAAATTTTGTTCAGAGGAATTAAATAAGGTCTGAAGAAGTAAAGATATGTGAAATGCTTGGAAGATTGGAGCATTCAGTATGTTTCAAATGTTTATTTTTCAAACTGATCTATGGTTTCAACAATCTTAGCATATTTCTTGATCTTAGCATATGCCAAAATCTTAGCGTATTTCTTGAAGAAACTGATTCTAAAATTTATATGCAAATATGAAGGAGCCAAGATAGCCAAAACAAAGGAATAATGAAGATAGAGGATATATTTCCAGACTTTTTATGAAAGTACAGTAACTAAGACAAATGAGGGATTAGTATTACCTGAGTGCAGTCAATGGGTGGATCAATGAAAGAGAATAGTGCCCAGAATTAGGTTCACTTATGTATATTCAATTACTTTTTAAAAAGACATCAAGACAATTTGGTGTGGAATATCTTGCTTAAAAAACTGCTAGAACAATTGGACATGATGGCACATGTCTGTAATCCCAGCACTTGGGATTCTGAGGCAGGAGGATTGTCATGAATTCAAGACCAGCCTGGGCTACAAAGTTAGCTCAAGACCACCACTTATATAGTGAATGCAACACCTTCAGTCTGTTTATCCATGTACGAAAAATAAAAACGTATCCTTACCAAGATATATATGCAAGTGATCATGGCAGCATTTTTCATGACAGCCAAAAAATGGAAACAACATGAAGGTCTATCAATGAGTAAACATACAGTAAATCCTTAAGTGGGCTAGTTATTAAAACAGAAAAGACCAAACTGTTGATCTGCACAAAATCATGAATAAATCTTGACAACATTATGTTGTGCAAAATACACTGTTTGATTCTATTTACATAAAATCTAAGAATAGACAAAATTAGTCGATAGCAATCAGAAGGCACATCCCTCTGAGGAAGTGGAATTGAGTTACTGGGGCATGGAGGAAACTTCTAAGGTGATGACAATGTTTTGTATCATGTCTTGCGTGTTAATTATATTGGCAGGTTCAATTATCAAAAGCCATTAAACTGAGTGTTTTTGATGGGTATGTTTTAAGTGCATGTCAATTATTGCATTCAGAGGAAGCACAGAGTGTCAGTCTTTTGTTTGTTTGTTTGGAGACAGGATCCTATCATGTGGTGTGGCTGGCCTTTAACTCTCTTTTGTAGCCCAGATAGGTCTTGAACTTGGTGATCCTCCTATCTCACCCTCCTGAATACTGGGATTACAGCCACCATGCCTGGCCAAAGACAGGGCCTTTATTTATTTGCCCCATTTTCTCTGTTATATTGCTGAAATGAAGAAATAATGATTAATGCTCCAAGAACCTTTTTGGACCATGAATATAAAATTAAAGTGCTAAGGATGGTGGGCAGAAACAGAAAATGTTTAGGTTTCTGTTATTTGTGGAGCTGCTATACAAGCCCTGAACTGCCTTTCTTTGGAATTCCTTTGTGTGGAAGATAAAAAAAAAAAATCTTTTAAAGTCATTGTCTCAAGTACTTCCGACCAAACATAATTCCTAAGAGATACGGTCATTGATAAATTCCTTTCCCGATTAGATTATTTTGGCTCTGTTAGATTACAGGTAGGAACTAGACTGAAGTGTTTTTTTTTTTTTTTTTTTTTTTTTTTGTCTTTTTCATTTTTATCGGTACCGGGGATCGAACTCACAACCGCCTGCTTGCAAGGCAGGTGCTTATGCCGCTGAGCTAAACCCCCAGCCCCGACTGAAGTGTTTTTAAGGAACATACTGAAACCTGTTTATCTTATATAGAGACTGATGCCTCTGTTGTATAACAGTGTTAAACTTTTGGAACATCATTTTGTTTGTACCAGAAGGCATAGCAAAGAGCTTGGTTTGGGGCAAATCCAGCTTGTGGTGCAATCACTGATTGTTCATGTGGCCATTGGCAAAGTACTAGCCTCTCAGAGCCACTGTTACTTTCTCCCAGTAGAGGGCTGATGAAACTCCCTTTAAGCTGCTGTCATTACAGAGATTAAATGAGATCATCTATATAAAGTCTTCACCATGGGTCTGGCACAGAGAAAATGGCAATTCTTTGCTACAAGAGTATTAAACAACTTGACTTCCAACATGTCATTGATGGTCAGTAAGCCATCATAGTTATTTGCCCTTGACCATTACCTGCATAATATATAGTGTTAATATCTAACTACAGCATGTTCTAATGGAGTCATTGCCCCATTTCCTACCGAATTTAATAGTAGTGTTGGCTGCAAAGTCCTTCTCCAAACAAAGAGTGAAACCCACATTTCGCAAAATACCTCAGAGGAAGATGCAAAAATGATTTTGGTAGAAGTCATTATAGTGGAGAAAGATTGAGAAAATGCACGTCCCTGTTAGAGAGTGGTGGTCACTGAGGATCAAAGGCCTCTGAGGGGCCAGATTCGAACAGCTGAATAGAGCCTCTGGAAAGGTTCAGTCCTTTTGCCTGCAGAACACAAACCCAGTTCACCTATCCAGGAGGCAGAGGCTGCTAGGACTCAAGGCTAGAACTGTGCAGTTAAATGACCTCAGTTTGGCTGCAAACAACCTGGGCCCTGAGAAAATTGCTGAGATCCAAACAGACACGATGGAAATGTCAGGGAGCTGACAAGTTCCTGGCAAATGCAGCTCAGGGGGTGGGGGTGGGGAAATCAGTGCACAGTTGTGCCAGAGAATCACTTACTCACCTGCAAGGGTTGGCAATTTCCTCTGGTGTTGTTTTCATAAAAGGGGAGACGGGTTTTTCTACAAAAGAGCCGAAGCCCAGTCTAAAGTTGCTAGTTAATTTAGACATCTCCTTGGAAAGCAGGGAGCCCAGCTCTTTGATTGTGTTGAGGTCATCGTCCATGGAGGCGGAGAGGTCCATGAGGTAATACAAGTCCACTGGGTAATCCTCGGTCTGGCGGACTTGCACTTGCAGCGTCTGCTCGCTGCCTGCAAAGCCCCACAAGAAAAGAAAATTCATAAAAATATGAGGTTTATTTGCAGCTAGCTGATTGCCTTACCAGCCGCTACTTCATTTTTCTCTTTTCTTTTCTTTCCCTCTCATTCTTTTCTTCCTTCCTTTCCTCCCTTTTTCTTCTTCCTTCCCTCCCCTCTTCTCCCTCTCTCTGTCTCTGTCTCTCTGTCTCTCTCTCTCTCTCCTTCTTTCTTGTGACAGGATTTTGTGATGTCGCCTTGGCTGGCCTTGCATTCTTCACTGTCCTGTCTCAGCCTCCTGGGATTATAGGTGTAGACCTGTAAGCTGAGTTCTGTTGTTTCAGTTCAATTATAATTTACCAAAGATACATACAATGTGATGAACTATGTGGTAGGGTTTAGAAATGAACAAGCCCATGAAAGTCTTTCAGCAGTGAGCTTAGTAGTGCTAAAGCAGGCATAATTTAGGATATTTTATATCTCCTTGGGAGAATTAGCATCCGTTTAGATGAAAGATAAGCTGATTTTTTTGTGAGTGGTTTTAGAAAAGGTGAACCAAACAAAAGACAGCTTAAATTTACATTTTGACCCTTAAAGAAATCTGAGGTAAGCCTGAGCAACATTTGACTAATTCACATGGTTATTACTAGAGAACACTTCTTTACTAACACATTTAGAGTGCAAGTGATCAACATGAATAAAGAAAGGTGTTAGCAGTTTTCTAGAGAATGGAAAGTCTGAATCATAATCAATGATATATGATATACAAGAGTATATTAATGTAATAGCAATATTACCACATGTAGTGTATTTATTAACAAGACTCCTCTTTCTTCTATTAAGAAATCATACCATACCTGGTCTTAATTTAAGAATCAAGTTTTGAGGCGCAATCTGAACAATGTCAGAACTATTCTTCTGTCTGCCTATACTGAGAGGCTTATTTTTGAGTATTTCCACTTGGGAGACAGGGTTTTCAATGAAGGTTAATTGACATCCTTTGGCTAAAAGGTTTGCTGGGGTATCACACCTCTCGCTAACTCCAGATGGGTGAGTAAAATTCTAAAACAGAAAAAAAAAAAGAGAGAGAGAGAGAGAGAAAAGACAAATCTGCATTTCTTTAGAACAGGCCATAATTAAACTTTTAAACATGCTTTGCTAGTTAAGCATCTTGCCCTGCTAAGTATGTTATATCCTCACATGACTGATGATGATTGTAGGTCTAAAGTTAAGTTATAGCTGAATACCAGAGAATTCTGCCAGTAAAGTTCTGAGTAAAACTGGAGGGTCCTGTAATTATATTTAATTGAATTCCTGTAGCAGTTCTTTACTAAGACAAGGTCTGCTATGTAGTTCAATCTGGTCTTGAACTCTCTACAAAGGCCAGACTGGCTTTAAACTCCGGTTATTGTCCTGTCTCAGCCTCCAGAGTGCTAGGATTACAGGTGTGCACCACCACACCTGGATTTGCAGTTTTTACTTTTTAAAAGTTGTTTCTTTAAAATTTTATCTTATGTTGTTATAGATCCTTAAAGTAGTTGAATTCATAGAGTTGAAATTCTGTGAAATTACTTGTTAGAGATAACCTATTTATTCCTGGAATCCTAGGACTTTCTAAGCTTTATAGCATGTCTACTACCAAATTCACTGACAAAGAAAGACTTTTCCTTAGGTTCCTAAAGGGCCAGGATTATGATATCTCCCTAACTGGTACTCTGTACCAGTTTTTATTCATTGACATGTTACATTACACTAAAATCAGCCTCTTGGGGGCTGGAAGCATAGTGCCGTAAAATGGTCTAGTTCAAGGTCTTTTAGAACTTTCCAAGATTTGAAGATGAGGAAGGAAAGTGAAAGAGAAGATGGTTTAAAAGCCTACATTCTGTACAGAACTCTGGCATTTCCTAGGCCCCTTTAGATCCACCTGCGGACCAGGGCAGGGAAGTATAGCATTTCCCAGTACAGATGTGGCCATTCTGATTCTGCTGACAGAGAGATGGAGCAGAGGGATGAATACCTGTCTCCCCTGACAATAGAGGCTTCTCCAGAGCTGAACTTGAGGGCTGTTTACTCAAGCTTAGCAAGAGCACTTACATTCTTTCCCTTGCCCTTTAGAAGTCTAAGGGTTTTTTTTTTTTTTTTTTTTTTTCTTGGCCTGTTAGGAAAGTGACATTTCTTCTGAAATTTACTGTTAAGGATACAATTTGGTATTTGCCAGTCAGGCCTGAGCCAATTTGAGGCTCTCACCCAGTCACAGCAAATGATAACTTCCTCTGATGCAGTGAAGGCAAGGAGTAATTGAAGGTTTCAGAACCCTTCTTGACATAATGAAGTTGCTGTCAGGTGTGGTCACTGCCTTTGCCAAAAGTTAAGAGGTGGTGTTAACCACAGAAGCTATTTTTTATCTGCCCTAGAAGCAGAACTTACCTACTGCTCCTCCTCCCTCAACTGATACACTGATGATTTCTTCTATTAGAATGACTTCTTAAAAAATACAGCCATTAGATCTGACAGTCATTTTGATTGCTAAATATTTTCCTTAAGTAAAGCTATCAGTAGCACCATGGGAAACTCTTTTAAATTAATGTTAAAAAGTATGTTTAAATAAAAGTGTCAAACTGATTTGTTATTTAAGTTTCTGGTATAAAACATGTGAGTTAGTCTCTGATTTAATATACTTAATTCTGCTTTTTCTTTTCATTTTTAATTTTATCTATCCTATCTCATCTATATCTATCCTCTATCTATGTATCTATCATTTATTTATTGTGTAGTTCTTGAGATCAAACCTAGGACCTCACACATGCTAAGCAAGCCCTCTCCACTATGAAGCTACAGCTCCAACTCCTCTCAACTCTGTTTTCTATACATGAGCTCAAAGAAGTATGTTCCTTAAATTTCGCTTGTGCCCATCAGTTGAGGTAGTGGTGGGTCAGTGAGCCAAGTTTGTGTTCTCTCTCTCTGTGAGTCCTCATGTGTACATATGTAATTTGGTGTTTAACAGTCATAGCCTAGTTCTGAGTTATGTGCCTAGATTTGTTTTCCTTTGGACATGCTACTTGGCTTTTGCCATATTTCACATCATAGTCTTTGATTTAAGTTCTCTTTATGAGATTCGACAGATAGAGACTTGTCTTAAAAATTTAGTAAGTTGTCATATACGTTTATTACCATGAATCATTTGTAGATTTCTTTATATAGTTAGAGGATAGGCAAAGACTCAAGATAACTTGTTATACATTCTCTAATCATCTTCATACGAATTTGTATAGTTTGCAGTTTGACTAGATAAGGACTGTTTGGGGCTTTGTCATTGAAGTGGTCACTAAGCTAATGAAAATGAAAAAAATTTTAAATGGCACAGAAATGAATGTTTCTTCCAAACCTAGAATACTCCTTAAAGAACCTATCAGTGGTACACAGGAAATCCTAGTTCCCAAATAGAAAATGACTACAGTGTTAATATCAAATGTTTATATTTAGAAAATATCATCTCAATGATTTCTGACTATCCAGAGAGCCTCAGTATTTTTTATGTAACACATTATAAATGGCTTTAAAATAAAAGGAAAATTCAGGTTAAATAAAAGATACGAAGTTAAGTATTTTTAAAGAATAATTTGATATCCACTCTTTCTGTAAATTGTTTTTAAAAGTAATCACATGTCTTTCACTTTGATCCATGCATACTTATGTTTTTCTTTCTTGATGTATTTTACTCTTATAACTTCATTGAAAGTACACTATCAGAGCTGTCACTGAGGACGTGAAGTAGCTGCAAACAGGCTTTAAAAACATGTTGAGGTCATTTGTTTTACCTCCTGGGAGCACCAGGCACACTGAGGTCCAATGAGCAAGCAGTCGCCACAGGTCTCTGCACCTTCCATGGCACAGCCACCTACATCCAAACCCAGCAAGAGGCAAGAGATTACGGTCACTTCCATCCACTCCTTTTAAGAGACCTATGCTTCTCAGATTACTTGAACAAAACAATATCGAAGTTGAGTCTTGTTTTTAAAGATTGGCCCTCACAATGTTAGCAATTCTCACGAAAATTGGTATTTTAGATCTAACACACTGCAAATACACATGCTTTGTAAACCAGACATTACCGTTTACTTTTTCTTAAAATTTGAAAATATCTAACTGCTCACAAACACAAATTCATCCTGTTTATTAGCCTTATTCATCATCTGCCACTTTTATTAAAAAAAAATTGTAGCCATTAAACTTGCTACTCTTTTAAGTGCAGTATTTTTGTAGTAGATCTTTTTTCTTTCTCAAGATTATTAGACTTAAGTAGTAAATCCTTGTTATAGAATAAAAAAAGGTTTCCAAAACAACTGTCACAATAGCCTCAAGAAGCCCTATTGTCCAGTAATATATTTTAATTAAAATGCCGGTGTAACCCTTGTATTTATTTATCTTGAGCTTTAAACATTCACCATGGGAACAGCCCAGTGTTTACCTGTAATTTATTAAAGTGTTTACCTGGTGGCAAAGAGCTATCAAACAGATCATATAAAATACGACTTCATATTTAGCTTCTGAACCAAATAACAGGTTTGTCAAGCACACTGTAAAAACAATATATCGGAGAAGTTGGGTCTTACCTCGTACGTGATCATCCCTTCCCAGAAACAGAAAGAAGAAGCAAAGCAGCTCAATCCCCATTCGTTTCACTTCTTGCTGTGAAGACTGATTAAAAAATGAATTACCTTCAACGTTACAAGACCAAAGTTGAATATCATTAAAGTCTTTCTTCCTTGAAGTGTAAAATTTTAAATACTACTTACACTGCTTTGAAAAGAAACTTGAGGTGTAAATTAAAAAGTTTTCATTAAGACTAAAATGAAAACAGAGGCTACCTGGACAGGTAAAGAAGAAAAGCTGTGTTTAAAAGCAACTTCAACATGATTTACTTCCTTGTTCTCCTTATAAGGAAGGCAGGTGTACGATAACAAGAAGGTGGAGAAACTCATTCAGTAGAAATTTTGTGTTCTATTGGTCTCTCTGCATCCTACAGAAAGTTGATACCTTTAGTTAAATATTAATCAATGAAATGACAAAAGGGCAATTGAAATACAATTGTTTCTGTAATAATTTTAATTTAATGCAAACTGTAAAGATTTGAAATAAAAGACAAGTTTTACATTATATGTAAAGAGGATTTGAAAAATAAGCTATCTAAAATACCTGAGATTTTTGTATGCCATGTTAAGTCCTCTGCAGAAAATTGAAATGAACTCTGAAAAATAAAAGTATGATTTTGCAGCCAAATTAGAAATTGGGCTAGGGAATGAAAAACAGTATTATTTTTCAATCAGAATGAAGATATTTTTTCCAGGAATATAAAATTCTTATTTTAAAAGTTATATTAAAAATAATTGTAGTGTATGAAAATTATAATAGAGCAAAATAAAATAGTCTGCAAACAATAGCAACAATAAATGTCCAACATTGTGAACTCCTCAGGTTAGGGACAGAAGTCTCTTCCTAAGGTTCTGTTCCAGGGCTGGGGGTAGTTCAATAGCAGAGCATTATGGTATTATTCACTGTGATACTCAAGGTCCTAGAAGTGTGTATACACACACACACACACACACACACACACACACACACGGTTATGGAGACAGAGAGACAGAGATGTAATGTACTGTTGAAGCTTTTAGCTTATCACTTAGAACATAGGAGATATTTGTGAAATCAAAGTCAGTGTGACAGATCAAAATATATATAAGGGGTCACTAAATTCATGAAGTAGTTTATATCCTACCCCTCAACAGATCCAGGAGGGTATTCTGGGATTTGTTAGAAATTGTGTACAGGTAAGAATAAAATACTTTGTCACTCTAAACTCTCTAACCCAGACAGGCTTCTTGGAGGTGGGGTTTATGTCCTAGGAGATTATCTTTAAAGATGTCTTTCTAGGCAAGCACGTGAAACCCATAACAAGTTTGTTTTGAAACCCAAAACAAACTTAACTTAAACTTTTAGATTATTCCTGAACCTTTATGTTCAGTTTTGAACAGTGTGATACACCCAAAAAAACTGGAAGAACATGGTAAGAATCCTGCTGTGAGAATCCATAATTATTAGAGAGTTAGAAAAAAATGCCTTTGGGGAGAAAAAAATGCAGCTATACAAAATCAATTGACTTAGCTTGAAGAAGAAAGACTGAGACATAAATTTCAGTTTTCCTAATATTACCTCCACTTTAAAATGCAGAATTTGCTGTTATTTATTCATTCATTTAGCAAAATATTTACTGAGCATTTCCTTTGCACTAAATATATATCTATTTTAATTAACACAATAATTGCACATATTTTTGGTTTATAATGTAGCATTTCAATACAAGTATACAATGTGAAATGATTTTCAGGCTCACTGACATATCTATAACCTCAGGAATATATCATTATTTTTGTGTTAGGAACTCTGACAATCTTCTGTATTTGGATATTTTAAATATTCAATTAATTTTTGTTAATCATAGTTATCCTGCAGTGCAATGACACAGTAGAAGACACTACTCTTGATCAGCTGTGCCTCTGCACACTAGCCATTCCTCACAGGCTTCCCAGGCTCTGGTGTCCTCTGTATTTCCTAATTCTTTCAGATGGACTCTTTAACTTCCACCCATAGGTGTGCATTATCTATTTCACTTAACATGATATTCTCTAGCCCCATCATGTTGCTGCAAAACACAGAGTATCATTTTTTATGGCTGCGTAACATTCCATTGTACATATGTAATGCCTCATTTTCATTTTCATTTTCCATTTACTGTCAGTGGACATCTAGCCTGATTCCTGATCTGAAGTATTGTGAACAGTGCTGCACATAAACATGTGAGGGAAGATGTCTCTTTGACATATTTTTTTCTTCTTCCTTAGATAAATACCCAGAGTGTTATTGCTAGATCATAAGGCAGTTCTATTTTTATTGGTGAAGAACTTCCATATTGTTTTCCTCCATTGTTTATTGAGGAAACTCTACATTGTTTTCCATAAAGCCAAACATTAGTTTTACTATGTATTTCTAACAATTGTTTTAGCACGTTTGCAGTGCATAATAATTACATTTACTGTGGGGCAGTTGGCCATGTGCATAACACATCTTAGTTCTTTTTTTTTGTCCCCTTCTCCTCCCATCCTTCCATACTCCTTCTAACTCTTGTTCCCCTTCCTGTTTGCAAAAGCTGCCTTCCCATTTTTCTTCAATTCTCTCTAATTTTTTCCCTTTTCCCTGTCCTTTTTCCCTCCTCTATTTTTTTATTCCTTTTCCTATTTGAAAATAATCTCCCTATTTCCTACTGTCTGTCTATCTTTTAATTTGGTCTTTGTATTTTGAATTTCTCATGTAAGAGAAACCATGCAAGATTTTTAAACTTCTGTGTCTGATTTAATTCATTTAACATTGTGGCTTTAAGGTGGATCCATTTACCTAAAGGCCACAGTTTATCCTCCTTTATGGCAGAGTACTACTCCATTGTATATAAATACCACATTTTCTTTATCCATTGATCTATTGATGGGCACACAGGTGTTTCCAAGATTTAGCTATTACTAATTGGATTAATTGTGCGTCTATAAACATGAGTATGCATGTATTGCTGTAATATAATTTTAACTCTTTTAGGAAGACATCTATGGGAGGACAACTAGGTTAAATGGATTTTCTATTTTTAATGTTTTGAGGAATCTCCATGTGGATTTCCACGGTTGTTGTACTAGTTGACATTTCTGCAAATGATGGAGAAGTGTTTCTTTTTCTTTGTAGTTTTGCCAGTATTTGTTATTATTTGATTTTTTGGTGATAGTCTTCTTTCTGGAGCAAGATGTTGTCTCAGTTTTGTTTTAATTTACATATCTCTAACTACAAAGACGATCTATGTACTAGCCATCTGTACTTCTGAGAAGTGTCTATTCATTTCAGTGGGTCCAGTTTTTGACTGATCTTTTATTTTAGAGGGTTAATATTTAAGTTCTTTATATATTCTACATATTAGTCTTCTGTCCAAGTAATAGCTGGCAATTTTTTTTTTCCATTCTGTTGGTTGTCTCTACACTCCATCAGGTGTTTTCTTAGCTGTTCATAAGTTTTTAATTTGATATGATCCCACGTGTCTAGAGCCCACAACAAGGACTCACACTGTCTGTTTTACAGATCTGCGCTGAGAAGGCCCAAAGGTCAGTGGTGGAAGCCAGAAAGTGTATGCCAGTGTGGTAAAGGAGCTGTGCAAGTAGATTGAGGATTCTGCGCTGGAGCCAAGAATAAATAATAATAAAGACCAGAGCTGTGCTGAAAAACACCACAGCCATCCTCAGCAACATGGAGGTCCCAAGCTCATTTGATGATAAGAACAGTTGAGTACGTGCCAGAAAGCCAGCATGATGAATTTCTCTTGGAGATTAAACGGCACATATCTTCCCTTCTGGAGCCAGGAAGCAATGCTCAATGTAAGGATCAGAGCTCCCCCTAAGTGAACCACAGCCACTCTCACCAACATACCACCCAACCACAGCCACTCTCACCAGTCCCCGAGGACAATGGCCGAACTCACCCTGGGGAAGCTCTTAATGAGCTCCTCCAGGAGAACCAACAGCTCCAACAGCAACACTTAGAGAAACTCACAATGCCTCGCTCTTCTTCTCCAAATCTCTATGTATGCTGGCAACCTTCCTCAGGTGGGATATCTATATCCAGCACCATGCTAATTTAATTCAGATGGTGTTAAACTGCCCATCAGTTTTTAATCTGTGACACCTGATCTCAACATAGTCCTGGAAGTTTATATTTGTAATCCTATGAAAAAGTTATTGGAATTCTAGTAAATCAATTCCAATCTACTACTTCCAGTGCAACCCAGAGCAAGAATAAGGACACTAAGACATATGTATAATTGTGGGGGGTCCAAGGAGTTCTAAATCTGGCCAGAATAAAGTTTCATAAGAATAAAAGCCTTGATCCAGGGCCTAACCAGAATTGTATTAATTCATGAAGAAGGGAATGGCTTCAGGACCAGTGACTGTGAGAATGATGAGAGATCGTGAGTCTGTGTAGGAGGCCTGAAAGCATCTCTGCAATATGCAGAGAGAGGTATATGCAGAAGGAGCAATCTGCAAACATAATTGAGGTAGCACTTAATGTTTATGGGGTGGTGCCTCAGCTCTGACAGCACACTTTTCTGCTCTGGGAAGTCACAGCCTCTTATCTCAAGGTCAAGCCCAGGTGACAGCCCTGGAGCAGTGGCTCTACACCTCGTGGAGCTAAATGATAGTTTAATGGGAGTCACGGGGTCAAGTCACTGGGCTCAGAAACAGCAACTCTCACCTGACTTCAAAGATTATTTCTTACCTTTTGTTTGTCTGTAATTTAGTATTATTTTTCTACCCTTTTGTTGTTTAATCTCCATGTATTTTTTTTTTTCGTTTCCTTTTCTTTAAATAAAAAAAAAAAAAAAAAGATTACGCCTCAGCATCTCAGCTAGCCGTATTTACACTGTGTAGAACTAACTGAAGGGAAGAGAAAATGGTTTAGCCAGCTCTGTACATATCAATACATGGAGACAGGGCTAGCTTTAGCCAAAAAGGAGATAATTGCTCTTTACTCAAGGAGAGTCGTCCAGGTGGTTCTCCACAGTGCTATGAATGATATTATTCTAATTTATTTCTCGGTGAGTTTGCTATTGGTTTATAGGAGTGCTGTAGACCTTTATATGTTGATATTGTATCCTACTACATTCCTGGATTTGATTATTAATTCTAGGAGACTGCTGTGGAATTTTGAGGGTCTTGTAAATAAAGGATTATGTCATTTTTAAATAATGATACTTTAACTTCTTTTCCTGTACACATCCCTTTTATTTCTTTCTCTAGCTAATATTTAAGGCCTATGTGGAACAGGAGAGATAATAGTGGAAATCTTTGTCTTATTCCTGATTTTAGAGGAAAGTTTTTTTTTTTCCTATTTAATGTGATATTGGCATTAGATTTGTCATAAATGACTTTTTTATCAAATTAAGATAAGGTCTTCCTATATCTATTTTCTTCAAAGTTTTAATCAAGAAATGGTGTTGAGCTGGGGATATTGCCCAATTGGCAAGAGCAAAGTCCTGAGTTCAATTCCTGGTCAAAAAAAAAAAAAAAAAAAAAGAAAGAAAGAAAAAAATGATGTAGGCTTTTTGTCAGACTTTTACTTTTATCTATCGAGATGATCATGTGATTTTTGTTCTTTGCTTCT